GAAGAGTTCAATAGCACCTCGTCAAAGGAAAGAAAATCCTTTATCGGTTATGCTTTGTAGAAAACATAAGGCAACGAACATTTAGAGTAAAAAAACTGCTTACATTCTGGATAAAATTTGATAAACAGGATAAATATTATTCACTGAGTTTTCAATTTGTCATGATAAACTAAAATGTTAGAAAGGGTTGGGTTGAAAAATGCAATTAGAAGCTATAAAATCCGTAATCTATCTTCTTTTATCATTTGTTTTCATTTTTCATTTCTTAGTTTTATAAATTTGCAAACAGGGTGCACAAATTAAGAACCCTTAACAGGGAAAGCAAAATGACTGAACTATACGACTCTAAACGTAGTATTATGTATGCGCAATTATACTCAATCCGTCTACAACCCCCTCGTGTACGGACTGCGTAATGTTGATCATGTTTCTGATTAACGTTCTTAATTAAGATGCAAATTGACCTAAGTATATTCTGTTTAATGGAACTATTTTCTGATCACGACCAGGACACGACTGAAATGTTCACAATACATCTGCCATTATAGGTCATACGATACCATTAAGGAATCAACTACGTGTACTATTTGTATAGGCAAGCGATGACTTGTTTGCTGTTAGCGTGATAACTCAGAGTCAACTGATGGTAAGTTATCATCGCTGCCCATGCGGTTTCAGAATACCCGAGTGATTAAGCTTTACGATAGGAGTTGGAGATTAATTTGTTTTTGAGTTAAATTTTATCGATAATACAGATTAGAACTATTAATAAAAAATCATAAAAGCTTTTTCACTTTTTTATGATATCAATATATGATAGAAAGTCAGAAAAGAATTGTAAATGCACATAAATTTCCTTTTATTTTTTATGTTAAAAGTTGCCAAGCGACAGGCGGTTCACCTGATGTTAAGTGAATACCGCCGCTCATGGACATCTGCTACACCCGAGGGTTGCACATGGGTTGACAACCGTTTGAAAATTGGGCTCCAGCTACTTCACTCACCAGACGAAATGCGAAAGTATTTATTACACTTCCACTTCACGCCGGTGTTCTGGGGGATTTAGAAAAATGCATTTAAAATATTTTCTAAAACGAACAAAAAAAATTAAAACGTTTATTTAAACCAGATTTTTACATGTGACGTATATTATTAAAATAAAAATTACATTAGCTTATTTCTATCTTCAAAATTGCGTTACTATACAATATACGATTATTTCTATCTTTAGAGTGAGCCATAAAATTGTTAATGAAACTATTTTAATTCAGTTTCATCATGTAGCGATTAACCATCAATTCGAAATAATTAATGATTTATTATTTATGAAATAATTAATAATTTAAAATTAACAAGTTAATTACATTACATTTATATACGCCAAAGGCAGGTGCTGTAACTCGTCTCTTAGAGGGTGCTATTTATATTTTAGTGTCCTATACATTTAATGCAGAAAATTTATGACTATGGAATAGTTTTTTATAATTTTTTGTTGCCTACTCGAGGTTTACCTAGGATAGTTAGTTCTGTTAGGTAAGTCCAATTTCAACGCAGAGTGTATCGGCGAATTCAACTCATCGGAGTTCGAGTCGCCGTTTCGTTGGGGAACTGTGACACATATTGTTATCGAATATACGTATAAAATCTTCAGTTAATGTGTGTTGCCAGTGACGACTTACCGAACCGATACGTGTCCTTTACGACCAGCATCGTATGAGGAAGCTCTAAGTCACTCAGCAAGATATTGTGACGGTGAAATACAAACCATAGCCCGGGTTTGTATTTCACCGTGTGATAAGAGTTCAGAACGAAGACATCCGCAGTGGAACTAAGATAGCAGCCAGAGGCAGCCGGATGGAGTGGCGACCGGGACAAGGTGCAGGAAGTTTATGCTCAGGATCATGCTTTGCGGCAGTCTGTGGAGGCCTATGCTCAGCAGTGGACTCCAATAAGCTGAAGTGATAATAAGATGATGATGATGAGTATAGTGTAGTGTAGGGCCAATAAATCGATTTATTAGAGTGACTGAAAAAATCGTGTAAACGAATTTAGTTTGAGCGATGGCTTGGCACTTTGAAGAGAGAGATTATGGTCGGAGCGTACGTTCCGAGAGTGAGTTTATGCTTATGATTGTAAGGAAAATTATCGTTTGACATCGGGTGTGATGAGATCAAAGAGGATGGAAAATAGAGTACGAAGAATCTGAGTGTTTCTTCGTCTCGCGAATGTGCAGCCTATTAAGCTGATTACGAAAGTGGGAGGTGTGGTAAAATTTTCAAAGTCCAAATATAAACCTAATGTTAATTAAATTATAAAGGAGACGGTGAAGCTTATTGAGAAGATCCTGATCTGCGTCCGAGTAACAAACATCAGCAGAAACAAGTACCGGGAGCACCAATGTCTGTACCAGCGAAAGTTTTGTGCACGAAGTGAGGAAATAATTAGAGTGGAATCACCCCCTAGTGTTATTCACCATACAGAAAACACTTGTAATGTATCTCACGTCCACGACTAGCTGCTATCAATATAATGAGGCCTAAATTTTAATATTGAAGAGAAAAGTATACATATGCCAGGTAAACAAGAGGTGAAATTAGCCCGATTTCTAGTGATTTTAGTCAATTATAGCTACCAATAATGATTGCTTGACATTTAAATCTGCCACGCCAAACATGTAAGACCAGTCTCGGATTAGGTTCAGATCAAAGTTAAATGCTGCAATATAATTGTTGAGCTCGTCAGTAGTGCTTTGAACATACAGCTGCAGATAATCAGCGTAAAGATGATGAGATAAAGCAAGAATAATGGCAAAGGATGTCCTCACCACCACTCAAGTCTGCCTAGTTGGAGAATTTTTCTTCAGTGCAAATGGCCTGCGTAAATATGAAAAGTAACAGTCTGTACATTTGCCACTGCAGGGCAAAGGCCTCCTCGCAGCCCCAATGCGGACTGGTAGACTTCACATATTTTCGAAATATTTTTTTTAAAGCGTAAATATGAAGAAAACCAGAACTGAGTTGCAGATAAAAGTCTTAAATAATTAAGGACAGCAAGAAAGATTTCATGATCAACATGATACTTATATTAAAAATTGCAAGGTTAGTGTCCATTCCCTTCCTAACATCGTTCACAATTTTTAACAATACTGTAGTAATGCTGTAGCCAGCTCAGAAGCCTCAGTGTAAATCGTTTCCAATATTATTCTTGTAGATGAAATCAGAAAGTTATTTGTGGAAGATAATTTCAATAATTTTTCGATAGATTAGGAAGAATCCTAATGGGTCTATTATGAGAAGTTTTGAAACTAACAGTGATATAGATAATTACATTATAATAGTATTATATATATAATATATACACATGGATAATCATGTTTATGTAAATTCAATTTTAAATTTCAATCGATTCATCTATATCTTCTTTATTTTGTCAATTACAAAGACGTACCCACGTACCGTCACACTAATCAAGACAGTTTTAATTCTCACCTACCAAATTTCACTAAGAATTAGTTTCCCCTACGATAACTTTAATTAAGTGATGTTTAGTTTAACACTTCCTATCTTATCTAAGTTGAAATTGCCGGTAGTTACGTTAACTTCAACCAACGTAGTGTTTTATAACTGCAGTATTGTGTTCCCCACAGACACATGTATTACAGTGTAGATACCATAAAGGCATTTAACGTGTACGTTACTAATGAAAATGTTTGGGACTGATCCATTTTTATTATCACCGTTTTGTTTATATATTTATGGACAAACAATATAAAATAAATACGATGCAAATTTTATACGAAAAAGTGGTCATCTGTTGTAAAGGTAGAACACTAGATGGCGCCAGACATTATTTAAAATGCAATAAAAAACCAAGTAGATAAATATTTGAGATTTTCGTTAGTTCCGTGGCAAGAGCATCGGATGTGTAACCGACTATAACGATACGATCAAATCTTATCGGTTATCGGTTAATATTAACAAATATTTCTAACTGCGTATTATCCGACCGCATAGCGAAGTCGTGCACTTTGTATGTGAATCACGCTTCGTTTACTTTCAACGTTATTTAGTAGAATAACTTTAGCTATAATGCCGCCAAAGAAACAACTTGCATTGAATAAGAGTGATTCCTCGGATAATGAGGGTACACCTGACGCCGCGTTAGTTTTATTGTTAGCTAAACGCGATGCCATGTTTGAAATAGTGCAAAAAATATATGACATGTCTACGAACATTCATACGAACACTTTAATGTTGGAACGTTTTCTTGACGAAAGTTCTAATATCGATGCATTACGTATTGAATTTAAACAGACTTCAGATAGTTATAACACTCATTTATTAAAAATAAATCCTATCGCTAAGCCCGATTATAATAGTCTCATTACGTTTGAGTCGCTTTACGGAAGAATAAGTCGACTTCGTTTGCAATATTCCCAAACTAGTAATTTACAGAATAGTAATAATGTATCATGTAAAACTAGCATTACACTTCCGCCTATCGAATTAATGACATTTTCGGGTGATATTCGCTCATGGCCTTTGTTTTATACCAGCTTCAAGTCAACTGTTCACGATAATTCACCGCTCACCGATGCTGAAAACTTATATTATTTACTAGATTAGCTGACTGGCAAGGCTCTCTCTGTATTCTGATTCGGCGGAGTAGAAAAAATCGTTAAAACAAAATCTATTAATATTAATATATTCTCCCGCTTTGACCAAAATATTAATTATCATATTTCACCGCTAGTGGTCGATCAAATCACCGACGAAATGCCCACCGCTTTAGTAGACTCATCTGTGCTAAAACAGTTTCATGGCTTACAGCTCGCCGATGAATATTACGGCGTGCCTAATAAAATAGATGCATTGATAGGTGCATCTCTTTTCCCACACTTGCTATGTCCTGGCGTAATTCGTTCTTATGATTCCTCTGGGCCCGCAGCAATACGCACGGTGCTTGGTTACGTCATTATGGGTTCCGTACGGACACTACAAATGAGTAAGTCATTAACTTATTGTATAGTTCAAGAGTCTCCTAATATTGAAAAATTAGTGCAACGTTTTTGGGAGCTTGAACAGCCTCCTTCCGCGCCGCCCATTCAGTGTCCTTCTGACATTGAATGTGAAGAGTTTTATAATTCGACGACATCACGTGATCCTGTTAGTGGCAGATACATTGTCGGCCTGCCATTTAAAGACGACGTTTATTCTCTTGGAGATTCTTACGAGACTGCTCGACGACACTTCATGTGCTTGGAAAGAAAGTTAGAAGCTTCACCCACATTAAGGTTGGCATATGATGACGTCATAAAGGAATATTTAGCCAAGGATTATATTTCACCCGCACCGCTATATGACTCTCGTGAAATCACTCCATTCTATGTTATCCCGCATCACGGAGTCTTACGTGAAGACAAGAAGTCGACTCGTCTGCGCATTGTCCTAGATGCTAGCAGTAAGACCAGCACTGGCCGATCGTTAAACGACGTCTTGCACTCAGGGCAGAATTTGCAAGGCGACTTATTCAACATTATTTTAAATTTCCGTCTACATCCAGTGGCTATGACAGCCGACTGTCGCCAGCAATTCTTGCAGATCGTTATTCGTGATTCTGATCGTCGTTATCAATGCTTTCTATACCGCTTCAATCCACATGATCCACTTGTGTTGTACCAGTTCAATCGCGTATGCTTCGGTTTAACATCGAGTCCTTACCATGCACTGCGCACGGTCAGACAGCTTATCGATGACGACGGCGCGATGTCGCCACTCGCAAGTCGTATCGCATCTACCTCACTATACATGGATGATGTCGCTTTCTCCTTGCTTAGTGAGTCCGAAGCCAATGAAGCCTCTCAGCAGCTAATTGACTTATTCAAGGGTGCACAATGGGATCTTATAAAATGGAATAGCAACTATCACTCCGTTTTAGATAACCTCCCTGTTTCTCATAAAATTACAAAGGAAGTGGAGTTCGATAAATCGATGCAGCATAAGATATTAGGCTTGCATTGGTCTACCGATAGTGACGAATTCTATTTTAAAATATTTATTCTCGATGATGTGACGTGCACTAAGCGCTCCATCTTATATACTGTCGCCCGCATGTGGGACATAATGGGTTTCGTTGTCGTGTACGCTAAGTTGTTAATAAAACAGCTTTGGGAACTTTATTTAGACTGGGACGATGTACCGCCGCCGCCCATCATTAAGATGTGAAGGCAGTTTTGTGCTGAATTACCAGATCTTAATAATTTACGTATCCCACGACATGTTGGTGTCACTAAAAATTGTATTGTCACCCTCATGGGTTTTTCCGATGCCAGTGAACACGCATACGGTGCCGTTGTATACCTACACGTAAATGGGATCAATGGTAATACCGTTCGGTTGGTCTACGCTAAGACTAAAGTTGCGCCAACAAAGCCACTATCCATCGCTCGCCTCGAACTTTGTTGAGCAGTTTTATTGTCAAAATTGCAGAGTTCTCGACAACTACTCTCTTGGTTACCTAATATCAGTCTACGCCTTTGTAGATTCAAAGGTTGCTCTGTACTGGATAAGAAGTTCGCCTCACAAGTGGCAATCATTTGTTGCAAATCGCGTGGTTCAAATTACAGACAATATTCCGGCTGATAGCTTCTACCATGTCGCTGGCACCGAGAATCCCGCTGACATCCTCTCGCGTGGTATTACACCACATAAGTTAATTTCGCACCCACTGTGGCTTCATGGGCCTCAGTGGACTCCGTTAGATCCGTCTCAGTGGCCACTTCGAACGCTAGGTGAAGAGATTATTGCAGACATTCCCGAGAAAAGGATATTGTCGCACATTGTGTGCACATCTGTTGATAAGTGTACATTATATGACCTCGCTCTCCGCATCTCTTCTTGGAGTAAACTTCTACGTATAATTGTTTACGTATGTAAGTTTGCCAAGTTACTGCCCCGTCGCAGCACTACTGCAGTGACTGCTGATGATCTCAGTTTCGCTGAGATTTTAATTCTCCGCGCTGTGCAAAATAAATATCTTGCAGCAGAATATTTCAATATTAAAAATTGTAAACCTTGCCCACCCGCTTTTAATCCTTTAAGACCATTCATAGACAACGGTCTAATCCGTGTAGGTGGTCGTCTTTCCAATTCCGTATTAGATTACAGTTATAAGTATCCCGCTATATTACCGCGTAGTGATCATGTAGTGAACATGATCATTGATTATTATCATATAAAACATTTACATGCCGGGCCTGAATTTCTGATGTCGCTACGTCGTCAAAAATTCTGGATCCTATCCGCACGCAGCACTGTGAGGCAAAGAGTCCACAAGTGCAATATATGTTTTCGGCTTAGACCGCATCCGACCTACCCATTGATGGCTGATCTACCCCAAAGTCGTACATGCCAAGTCGTTAAGGCGTTTACCCATACGGGCTGCGATTATGCCGGTCCCATCGCATACACTCCTGTACGCCGACGAGGTAAACGTAGTGAAAAGGCGTATTTATGTATTTTTACGTGCCTTACAACTCGGGCCGTCCATATTGAAGTCACTACGGATCTAAGTACTCCTAGTTTCCTATCCGCGCTGAAACGTTTCCTTTCCAGAAGAGGCCCAATTCAGTTTTTATATTCAGATAACGGAACGAACTTTAAAGGCGCCGCTTCGTAACTTCGCGTTCTTTATAAGTTTATGAACCTAGAATATCGCCCAAAGCTCGAACAGGAATGCGCCGAAAACCGCATTACATGGAAGTTTATTTGTCCCAATTCTCCTCATTTTGGAGGCGCCTGGGAAAGTATGGTGAAAGTCATTAAAACGCATTTGTTCAGAGTTATTGGACAACAGTTACTTTCGTATGAAGAGCTTAATACTGTACTTACGCAAATCGAATGCTTGCTTAACTCGCGGCCGCTAACAATATTAAGTTCTGATCCCGCAGAGCCTACAGCCCTTACTCCGAGCCATTTTTTGAACACCGCACCTTTATTATCTTTACCCGCAGCTGAAGTAGAATCCGACCAAGTCAGTCTGCTTCACAGACATTCTTTGCTGGATAAGTTAGTCCAGTCGTTTTTGGATCGATGGAGGATGGAATATCTACACGGGTTACAAGTTAGGCAAAAGTGGAATACATTGTCTGCGCCTATCACTCCAGGTACCGTCGTGATTGTGATTAACGATAACGTACCACCCCTAGCTTGGCCATTAGCAATTGTCGAGTCAGTTCATCCTTCAAAGGATGGTGTAGCTCGCGTAGTAACCGTGAGAACCGCTAAGGGGACTTACCTTCGTCTTGTTATTCGTATTTGTCCTCTCCCGAACCAATAACTTAACCGCATCAATCACACTTACCTTCTTATATATTAAGATAGTAACAGATAAGTTAGTTTAAACATATTAAAATAAGTCAAACCGCAATATTACTAATATTTATTTGTATATTATATGTATTTCTTCTCGTATAATAAGTATGCTCAATAACGCGCAATGCGCGCAATCTCTTACTCTATGTTCTACTTTTAAGTACGTTTATCTTATGGTTGTCTTTAAAGGTGACCCTTTAAGGGCGGGAGGAAATGGTTACGCCAATTAAGCATAATTTAATAATTAAATAAATATATGGTACATACATCCATTACCCTTCCCTTACCTTATTCATCCTATTGCACGTACTGCACGTTTAAAAAAGTCGTTATCCCGCAACCGCACGAGTGACATTGCGCTCCTCGTTATATTTAATTATCCCGGACATTGAGTCCTAGTAATGCTCCCTATTGATGTGTCGCGCCCTTCCGTGATTACGATAAGTCGAGAGTGTGGGGTGTGGCTATCCAGGAACTCATTGAACACTGCAAAGTGCGTGTACCGAACTACGTGGCGTGCCCGCCGGTGTTGGCTGCATCCCAGGGAGCGCTTGGCTGCCGTCGCAAGTTTAGTACGTGCATCTTGCCCACCTTCCTAGTTCTGCTTATTGTATGTACCAATACAGTCCACTAAAATTCTTTCGATGAAACCTACCATTATTGGCGCGACCACCATGTATAGTACAAAAAAGGTCTTAAGTAGTTTTGTTTACTTGAGACAGATGCAGTATTGTTATTGTCAATACCATTTTCACTTTTTTTCATGTTCCAAATACTCTTGATTTGAAGAAATAAATAATTCTTACAACTGATTATAAGCAAAGTAATACCGATAACAAAGATAAACTTCCTTAAAAAATAGCACGGAACGCGCGACAGTTCCTAGCCGTGCTTCCAATTTGACGTTAGCAGGCAAAGCGAAGCTATTCACTTACTACTCGACGTTAAACTCAATCCTAGATACGTCAACATAAACTCTGTCAAATGCTGATATATAGTGATAGCGTTCCATTCAAGACTAATTCCGACATAACAAATATTTATAAACCGTTCCACTGCTAGGAATAATTTCCAATTTCAAATGATCACGAAACATACTTTGATATAAAATATTTTAACAGTGTCAGGAAACTCTAACAAGGTAAAAAGGTAATTGTCCAAAGACTTTCCGCTCGACTTACTTTATAAGCGCAAATTATCGATAATTCCATCTAGTATAAAAGGGTGACTTTATTATGGAAAAGTCTTTTATTATAAGCTACATCTATCATCTTAAGTTGTAAAAGGGGAACAAAATAGAAAAAAATATTAATATATTCTTATACACTAAGTTAGAGTAAATTACAGGGTCAAATTTATTGGTCTTGTGCAAATCAGTAGTATAAAACTGAACTTACTATTTGATATTTACAGGTCATCAAGTGTGTGCTTGGTAAATTTCAGACGGAAAAAGTAATAATGTAGCAATATTTATCTCAAAATGTCTGTGCTTAGGCGAGTAACGTGTAAATTGCTAGCAATTCATATATATTTTCACAGGAGAGAAATTGTATTGTTCCTGTCACGTGTGACTTTCATTGTGTTCATGATGAACGCAGTGTTAAAGTATTTTATGCATATACATATAGTTTGTTCTGGTTTAATTTCTGTGATAAAAGGAGTAAAGGTATCGCGTTATGCAAATAAACCCAAATATAATATACTAGCGACCCACCCCAGTTTCACACGGGCGCTATTACTTATTAAGAAAACGAAAAATTAATACTACTATTGAGTATGAAAATATTGAGTTTATTTATTTTATTACTTGAGATCTATTAAGTTCTATAAAATTTACTTTATGTGTGTAGGAAATAAAAGGCTTTTCATTATATTTTATATATATTTATAATTTCTAAATTGTTCTTATGGATTTAAGAAATATGTGGAATTAAGATTGTCATTATATTAATGTCACAAGAAAAATAAATTTATTGTCGAAAAAACAATGACATGTAAGCTTCATAAACACAAAATCCGCACCGCACCACTACGATGCAAAATATTTTTAACAGAGAAAATTATTAAGTATTACACTTTGCAACTCGTATTTCAACGGGTCAAACAACATAAGATTTTATTAAAGTATTGAACGTTTTACCAAACCGGTACTAACGGAGTAATGCATAGAAATAACAAGAAATGGGAAATACCTGCAGTACATGTAGTTGCCAGGCTTGAAATGAAAATTGCCGGGCGCGAGAAAGTTTACAGTTGGAAAATTTTCTTGAAAATTCCATGCAGATAATATTTTAAATCTTAGTTGGCATATTTTCATTTGTTTTTACTTAATTTAACGGAAAAATATGAAGTATTTGCAACATCATATTGCGCTATAAGTCAGCGCTTTAAATTAACAATTTCATTGGTGCCGGAATTGAAGCCAGCGCTCGGACACTTAGCTGTCACACCTATTACGGCACTGTATATATTTATTGAAAATGTGTATTGTACATGTATATCAAAACAGCATGCATTATGATATACATGTCGCATAATTGTGACATGTACGCCAGAACTCTCAGAAATGCCGCCCCTGAGTGCCGAGTTTTTTTACCCAATATGTTTTAATACTGCTTTCCCAAAAAATAGGTGGGTTTTAACAAAAAAATCGGAAAGTTCGGAACCATTGGATTTTTGGATACGGATATTCAATCCATTGTTTTACAATTTATTTTATCGGTAATGTTATGATTCTTAACTTGGGGAATTGTCGTTGCCAACTCTTATACAGAGTATTATTATTTTAACTGTTGGCAACTAGTATGTAGCATACTAGTTGCTAAAGGTTGTAGTTGTCCATGGACAGA